GCAGGTGTGTAAACTGGATTAGGCAGCAGAGGTCATTCATCTGCTGACTCGATATAAAGGCTCACACTTGCTGACACGATATAAAGGCTCACATTTGCTGACACGATATGAAGGCCCAGATTTGCTGACACGATATGAAGGCTCACATTTGCTAACACGATATAAAGGCTCACATTTGCTGACTAGATAATTTGCTGACTCAGCAATATAGACTCACATCTGCTGATTCAGTAATATAGACTCACATCTGCTGACTCAGCAATAGACTCACATCTGCTGACTCAGCAATAGACTCACATCTGCTGACTCAGCAATAGACTCACATCTGCTGACTCCGATATCGCATCACGGATTTTCCCAATGGCAGTCCTCCCTCCTGTGGCAATAACAATGGCCCGCACCCTCCCCACCGTCACCACCGTGCCCTAGGAGAATGTGAGCAGAGAGGGAAACAGTTAATACAATTATTGAGCCGAGTCGAGATGACCTGTGGCGATAACAATGGCCCGCACCCTCCCCACCGTCACCACGGTGCCCTGAAAGCGTGGGAGCAGAGAACACAATAGTTGATGCAACAAACTTTAGAGACTTCTCGACACTCCTGACTGAGCGGGTGTGCGTAGGAAAGATGGGGAGAGAAAGATGGGGACGAAAAGCAGGTGACAAGAAGGTGGGAGGCAATAAGGGAGGACGTACGGAGAAGAGGATGCAGGTCTTGTCTTGATAGACCGCTGCGGCTGATCGTGTGGCTCGCTTTGTCTTAGACACCGACCCACTCTCCCCTGCCAGACATGGTTGTCACAAAAAAACAAGAGTCGGTGGTTTTGAGACGTCTCAAACTAAGCGTGGAGCAAGAGAAGGCACTTACTTGAAATCTTGGATAAACTCAAACGGGCACCAAGCTGTTCATGGAGTCGAGCGAACAACAAACAACACAGTGCTGCTACCTGGCAGCTTTTCCTCACCTGACACCTTACATCACCATTTCCTATCTGTGAGGTGAGGATGGATTGGCCTGCTCTGATCTGTGTGCTGAGTAGGGAAAGCACTCTAAGACTGAACTGACGGGCTCCTTGCCATCCTTTGCGCCCAGTGAACAACAGCAGAATGCGACCTGGCACCGTCACCTTGACAAGTACCGACCTGTGAGGATGGACTGGTCCGCTCTGAGCTGTGTGCTGAGCGAGCAGGGAGAGCACCCTGATATCCGCAGGCACCTTGCCATTCGTAGACAGGGAGGCCGCTCTTTTACTCAACTTAACAATGCAGTGCAGCTTCGTACCTGTGAGGATGGACTGGTCTGCTCTGAGCTGTGTGCTGAGCAGCGAAAGCACTCTGAGATCTGCAGGCACCTTTCCGCCCACTGCCACCCGCACAGAGCAGAGCAGATAAGGCGGTAGACAGAAACAGAACGCTAAGGTGGTTTTTGAGGCGCCTCAAAAGGATTTTTGAGGCGATTTTTGAGGCGCCTAAAAAAAGCAGAGGAGATAACGCGGTAGATAGAAACAGAACGATAAGGTGGGTCAGTCAAAGAAGGTTAGGCAAGGCGGTTCAGACAAGGGCCAGAGGCAACAGCGTGAGAGGCTGATAGGGTTCCACTCAAGAAATCAGATGCAGTTTACTTCTTTAGAACGTTTAACCCTCACCTGACACTTCAACAATGTCGCCGGGAACCAGCTCTGCAGCTGGGATGATCGCCAGCCTGCCTGCATGCTTGAGTCGACTCAGAAACCTACTTTTGATTGGTCTCCTTTCCAAGGCCACGCACCTGACACTTCAACAATGTCGCCGGGAACCAGCTCTGCAGCTGGGATGATCGCCAGCCTGCCTGTACATGTGCGGCGATGGAAAAACACGGGAGCAGGGAAGGGAAGGGAAACAAAAAGGGTGTAGAGCGACTTTGGGAGGACAGGAAAGTCCAGTGAAGTGTTGAGACGACGCAGGGAGTGAAAGGTGGAATGCGTAAGGTGGGGAAAGTGTATGGCTGTCAGCTGGCCGCAAATTCACTGCCGCTCACTCACTCACAACCCCTTGGGACTAAATTACACTTTCTACCTGTGACCCACCATTGCGCAGAACTGTGGCAACATCAGCTTGATATGCCTTCAGTTCCTGGTAGGGAACGCAAGAGGGGTGTGTGTGAGTGCGTGGTACGGGGGGGGGGGGGGGAGGGAGGGGGGAGAGGGTAGAAAGGTAAGAGGGAGCATTGAGCACTGTCTTAGGAAGGAAAGCCTCTTGGCTTGGAAGGACATGAGAGGGGCCTGAGAAACAAAACGAGGGAACCTTGGAGAAGGTGTGAGTGGTTGGTTGCAAGATGGAAGTGGTGGTCAAACATTTTGAATTGCAAAAAGGCAGTGTTTTGTACTTGAGACTCTAGGAATCCATTTTGAGGCGTCTAAATACCGTATATCGTGAATCACAACACGGTGGTCCAACATGCCAGCTATCCTTCACAAGTCGCAGGCACTTGAGAGAGACACACACACACCAAGACACGTGCATACTTGTTGGTTTTTTAGAATTCTCAAAATACCAGCTTTCCTTCACAAGTCGCAGGCACTTGAGAGAGACACACACACACCAAGACACGTGCATACTTGTGATACCACCAGCACCAGGTGTCGTACCAGCAAGGTATGCACGCACCTCTAGTGCCTTCTCTGCATTGGTTTCTGTGATGACCCCAACTGTGGCGTTGGCAATGAGAATGAGGAGGATCACCTGTGAGAAGAGAAAGGGGAAAGGGGTGGGGGGAAAGGGGCGGGAAGGGGGCGGAGAACGGGGCGGGAAGGAGGAGAAATGGAAGTTCTTAAGTTGTATGAATCTTGTGGCCATGTTCTGAGCTTACATCAGCTTGAGCATGAGGGCGGCAATGGGTTTACAGCGGGCTCAACGAAGGCGTGCCAGCCGCTCTCCCCATTGCACTTACAACTGTTTCAACAACCTAATCCCAGAAGGGAGTGCCTGGGCTACGATATATGGTGATAGGCGGTTGCAGGTGGTGACAAATGGTGACAGCGCTGGCGTTGGGCTTACAGCGGGCTCGACGAAGGCGTGCCAGCCGCTCTCCCCGTTGGCGAGGGCGAGGAAGAAGGAGACGACTGCAGAGACGAGAAGGATCTTCACCAGCAGGTCGTCAAACTGCTTCAGCACCAGCTTCCAGAAGGGCGTGCCTGGTGTGGTGGTGTCAGGTGGTGATAAGCGGTGACAGATGGACAGGTGATGACAGGCGGTAAACAGTGGGGACAGGTGAGTGGGGATAGCTGGGGACAGGTGGGTGGGGATAAGTGGGGACAGGACACAAACACGGATCTTCCTTGAAACATAGGGACCAAACTAGGGGTGATGGGAGTTGATGGGTACGGTAGGCAGGAGATTCTCACCTTCTTCCTTGGGGGCCTCTGCAGGGGCGAGTGGAGGGCAGCATTGTTTCCAGAGTGCACCACCCCGGACATACCACAACAAAACAGTGACACACAAACACACACACACACACACACACACACACACACACACACACACACACACAAGTCGATCAGTGAACAGGACTGAGAACGCAATCAGCAACTGGACAGGGGAAGCTTTTGTTGCGAGACAGTAAAAGTGAGCTTATAACGGGGACAGGCAGAATGGGACGCACCATTCCGCCCATAGATGCTTCGACTGTGCTCCACCTGAGCTTCGGTGAGGCCTGTGTTCTCGTCTACTTGAAAATGTGCCAGAACCTGGTGGTTTTCACACACGCAAAGTGATGGACGGCTATGATGGCTCAGCGGAACCATTGTACGGTCGAGATGCGACAGGACGAGCGTATCAGGCAAAAAACCAGCCTCGGCTCACAATGGCTTGTCGAGTCGAAGCGTTGCAACGACGGAGTGGATCTACACTACATCATTCAAGCGACGGCAGGACAAGGCAAAATGTACTCATGGCGAATTTGAACTCAACGCTCCACTAGATCCACCGACCTCGTGAGTCTCGGCGGCATGAGCAGCGTCCATCTCCGAAAAACACTTGTCGTGTTTTGAGTCGACTCAAAACACGACCCTCTCCTCCCCGAACGTATTATTTCCCACCCTCCCTTCTCCGATCCTCTTTTCTCCAACCCTTGGCCTGCGCCGTGCAAGTCCCAGCTCCCTATAAGTTGAATCCAGTTCTCTTTTCTCGTGGTTCCGCGACCCAAGGATTCAGGTTGAGTCGGCGTCGCTAAACCAGCATGTTCCTGCAGCTAGCCGCGTCCCTATGCATGTCACAGAGGGAAATTGGTTCCCAGAATTTGTCAGGCTACCGCAGGCGAGCCGAAGAGTAACCCGAAAACTTTCACTAGCCACCATCAGTCCGTGACCGTTGTGTTGTAGAGATTGGTTAGATAATCTCGAGGGAGATGGCTGGCAATGCGTTCCCTGTTGCTGAAGGCGAATCATACCCGCCACAGGCACTTTCGTAGCAACTCATACGCTGCCAAGAATCGTTGTAATCAACTAACCACTTCGGATACCCTTGTAGATGTTTACTATGTGATTTCAGAGTTATCAAAATATCCGCATATAGACACACACGCCCTGCATGTGTCCATACATGCATTGCTAATATCCTTACCGTATGTCTGTATTACAATATAATATGTGCTCTATTTCCTTTTATTTGGCCATGTAAATGGGAATTACCGCTATGTCAGGTTGTACAACTTTCTTTACGGTCAGTACGGTCAACTTTGGTTTATTACGGTACGAAACGGTCATCGTTGACAATCGTTTTCCACCGTGGAGAACCGTTCTGATCCACGTCGTCGCCCTGGGTTGGAAACATTTCTCCCCATCCATGTCTCTTGAGGTTCTGCAGCTGCGAGTGTTGCGCAACAGCCTCGCGTCTTGGATTCCTCGGTTCGCTCGTCGCCATTCGTCATATTCCTGCAGCAAAATTTCTGTCTAGATTATCCTATTAGTCGGTTCAGAACACATTCTCTCAAACGATTGCCGGGCCTTAACTCCAGGATCTTCATGGCGTCGGAATCGGGGATTCCAGCCACACCGCCTCCCAGTCAGAACCCACCTGTCGGTGCGTCTGGCTCTGACACTCCTCCCGTCAACTCTACCCCTACCACTGGCGCATCTGCCGGCGGAGTGTCTGCCTCGCCGGCTTCCGCGGCGGGCGCGGCGGGCGCGGCGGGCGAGGAGCAGATAATGGATCTGGAGTCGTATGCCGCGAATTATTCCGGCCACACGCGCATCGTACGGCTGCGATTCATCGCGGAGCGGTGCGCCGCTATTGTCCAGACCGCGATGGAGCTCGAGGCGCTGCGGATGGCGGCGGACGAGTTGAAACGCGGCGAGAACAGCGCGGCGTATAAAGAGGTCGTGGCGAAGATTGCGGGGCGCCTCGGGCCTAAGTACGAGCTGGATCAGGAGTGGGTGGATTCTGTGGAGCGACGCGCGGTGCAGAAGCAGGAGAAGCTGGAGATGGAGTTAAACGGGTACAAGGTACTGCGGTAAACGGGTACAAGGTATGGCGTAACGGGTACAAGGTATGGCGTAACGGGTACAAGGTATGGCGTTAAACGGGTACAAGACAAGGTATGGAGGGAACACCTTCAAATGAATTTAGGGATTAAATTTGTTCGCAGGGATGAGTGCAGACTAAATTCGTTCAGCATGGCATGGCATGTGTAACCAAACCTGACGTCAGGTTACACTTGGTAACAGGGAAGCCTTGTAACACCTCCCCCTCATCCCCGCTACAGACGAACCTGATAAAGGAGTCGATCCGCATGGGTACAACGATCTCGGCGACTTCCTCTACTCCCGGGGCGATCTCCAACAGGCGTTCCGGTGCTACGTGCGCACGCGCGACTACTGCATCACGTCCAAGCACACCATCGCCATGTGTGCCTCTCCTCTCCTCCCCTCCACCCCTCTCGCACACCCCAACACCCTTCCTTCGTTCCACACACTGAAGAGCCTTTTTCCCTGTATCCCCCCTTCCCCTCCTCTTCCCTCCTCCCTTCCCTGCCCTCCTCTGCCATCATACCCGCTACAGACGAACCTGATAAAGGAGTCCATCCGCTTGGGGTACAATGATTTAGGCAACTTTTTCTACTCGCGGGGGGGCCTCCAGCAAGCTTTCCGGTGCTACGTGCGCACGCGCGACTACTGCATCACGTACAAGCACACCATCACCATGTACCTCTCCTCTCCTCCCCTCCACCCGTATCACGCACCCCAACACCCTTCCATTCACTGAAGAGCCTTGCTTTCTGCACCCCTCCCTTCCCACACAGACAAACCTTATCAAGGAATCCATTCGCATGGGGTACAACGATCTCGGCGATTTCTTCTATTCCCGAGGCGACCTCCAGCAGGCGTTCCGGTGCTATGTGCGCACGCGCGACTACTGCATCACGTCCAAGCACACCATCGCCATGTGTCTGAACGTGATCGTGGCGAGTGTGGAGCTGGGGCACTTTGTGAACGTGAGCAACTACGTGCAGAAGGCGGAGCGGGGCATGAGTGACCCCATCGTGCTGGCCAAGCTCAGAAGCGCTGCTGGGCTGGCGAGCTTGGAGGGGCGGAAATACAAGGCCGCAGCCAGGAAGGTGGGTTTGTGATGGGAATGCAGGCTGAAGCAAGGCGGGTTGCAAACAGGAAGGTGGGTTGAAAACAGGAAGGCGGGGAGAGGGAAGGGGGGGCGTAAAGCTGGGGGACTTTGAGAACGTGAGCAACTACGTGCAGAAGGCGGAGCGCGGCATGACTGACCCCATCGTGCTGGCCAAGCTCAGAAGCGCTGCTGGGCTGGCGAGCTTGGAGGGGCGGAAATACAAGGCCGCAGCCAGGAAGGTGGGTTTGTGAAGGGAATGCAGGCTGAAGCAAGGCGGGTTGCAAACAGGAAGGTGGGTTGAAAACAGGAAGGCGGGGAGAGGGAAGGGGGGGCGTAGAGCTGGGGCACTTTGTGAACGTGAGCAACTACGTGCAGAAGGCAGAGCGGGGCATGAGTGACCCCATCGTGCTGGCCAAGCTCAGGAGCGCTGCTGGGCTGGCGAGTTAGGAGGGGCGAAAGTACAAGGCCGCTGCCAGGAAGGTATGGTTGTGATAAGAATGCGGGGTTAGTAGTACAAAGGTGGGTTGCAAACAGAAAGGTATGCCTGTGATCGCGAACAGCAAGGCAGGGTGGTGAGTGGGTGCAAGTACAAGGCCGCTGCCAGGAAGGTATGGCCGTGCTCTGGTTGTGATTGCGATCAGAAAGGTAGGGTGTTGACTGGAATGGAAGTGGGTTGAAATTATCAAGGAAGGGCGGTAATTGGCGCATCTCTTTCGCCTTCACCGTTTTCCCCAAGTCGTTCCCTTTCTTGCCTCTTACCCTCCCTGCTACATGCTGTGTGCCCAGTTTGTGAGTTCCAGCTTGGACATGGGCAGCAGCTACTCCGAGGTGATAGCACCTTGAAGTTAATCCTCTCATAATCAAGTTTCTTTCCTCTCATGTCAACCCCCACGCTGCTCTCTGCCCCAGTTTGTGAGTGCCAGCTTCGACATGGGCAGCAGCTACTCCGAGGTGATAGCACCTTAAAGTCGCCTTTCCCCTTCGCCATCTCTCCCAATATGTTCTCTTTTTCCCTTATCTGCCCCTCACACTGCTGCATTACCCAGTTTGTGAGTGCCAGCTTCGACATGGGCAGCAGCTACTCCGAGGTGATAGCACCGCAAGACGTGGCGGTGTATGGGGGGCTCTGTGCGCTCGCCTCCTTTGACCGCGCAGAACTTAAGGTGCTGATTTATTCCGAGATGTCATGTACCATTGCGAGATGCACCAGCGTCTCACCATTCATGCCAACCGAATTTATGCCAACCGAAATCATGCCAACCGAATTCATGCCAACCGAATTCATGCCAACCGAATTTATGCCAACCGCATTCATGCCAACCGAAATCATGCCAACCGAATTTATGCCAACCGAAATCATGCCAACCGAATTTATGCCAACCGCATTCATGCCAACCGAATTTATGCCAACCGCATTCATGCCAACCGCATTCATGCCAACCGCATTCATGCCAACCGCATTCATGCCAACCGCATTCATGCCAACCGCATTCATGCCTGGGGTACTCCGTTGACCTTCCACGTGGCTTAACTCCCCCTTCCCACCTCTCCCCGCCTCTCGTCCCGACCGCTGGCCCCTCCCTTGTCTGCTCCTTCTCTTCTCCCTCACTGCGCACACATGCAGAGCAAGCTGATAGACTCTGTCAACTTCCGCAACTTCCTTGAGCTAGTGCCAGAGGTCAGGGAGCTCATATACGACTTCTACGCCAGGTGAGTTCGTCCCCTGTGCCTGACCTTTCTCGTCAGAGGCCACCTTTCTCCCTGCTCGTCTCCATATTTGACTAGGGCTTTCTCGACTTCCTTGAGTTAGTGCCAGAGGTCTGGGAGCTCATATATGACTTCTACGCCAGGTGGGTGGGTGTGTGCGCCCCGTATCTTTGGTTTCAATTCTGGAGCTCTCTATTTCTTGTTTGTTTCTATTTCTCTGGCCTCCTCAAGCTAGTGCCAGAGGTCAGGGAGCTCATATATGACTTCTACGCCAGGTGGGTGAAGGGCGCCTCTGCTTGCTCCCATTCCTGGAGCTGTATATCTCGTGTTGATCTCTCACCCTTCCTCAAGGAAGGGAGCTTGTGCTGGAGATCAGGGAGCTCATATATGACTTTTTAGGCGCCTCAAAGACCAGGGAGCTCATATATTAGGCGCCTCAAAGATCAGGGAGCTCATATACGATTTATACGCCAGGTGGGTGTGGATACGACTTTTACTGGCTTTGGTCTCGCTTGGAGATCTTGATTACCACTCCCCAGTGCTGGAGGTGGGCCTGCATCTGCACGACCACTCAGTATCCTCCTTCCCTCTCACCCTTCCCTTCTTTCAGCCGCTACGCATCGTGTCTGAAGAATCTGGACAAGCTCCGCCCAGGGCTAGAGCTGGACCTGCACCTGCATGACCACTCAGTCTCCTCCCTCCTCTCTCCCTTTCTGACACCCCGGTCCCCTCATTGCAGTCGATATGCATCGTGCCTCAAGTACCTGGACAAGCTGCGCCCAGTGCTGGAGTTGGATCTGCATCTGCACGACCACTTAGTCTCCCCCTCCTCTCACGCTTGCCTCTCAATCACCCCTGGTTTTTTTTCCCAACCAACAGCCGCTACGCATCGTGTCTGAAATATTTGGACAAGCTGCGGCCAGTGCTGGAGTTGGATCTGCATTTGCACGACCACGTGGCGGCGCTCTACCAGCAGATCCGCCAGCGCGCTCTCATTCAGTACACCACGCCCTTCATATCCGTTGATCTCCGCACGATGGCCTCTGCGTTTAACACGAATGTGGCTGCGCTGGAGAAGGAACTTGCTGCGCTTATAATGGATAACCAAGTGCAGGTGAGTCGGTGTAGGTGTGTCTTGTCCAATGCAGCATCCAGTACACCACGCCCTTCATATCCGTTGATCTCCGCACGATGGCCTCCGCGTTTAACACGAATGTGGCGGCTCTCGTGAAGGAGCTTGCAGCGCTTGTCATGGATAACCAAGTGCAGGTGAGTGGATGGATGTGCATTGGAGGTGGCTCATAAAAGCTGATTTGCGTGCCACGCCGCTGTGTATGATATTTTCTTTGGCTGTATGTATTTACTGGTGTTGTTCTTTTCGTTTCTGCTTACATTTCCTCGTTGTTGTTTCCACGCCAGGCACGCATCGACTCACACAAAGGCATTCTATACGCTCGTCATGCTGATCAGCGCAATGCAACGTTTCAACGAGCACTTGCAGCTGGCAATGACTTCCAACGAGACACGCGCGCACTTCTGATACGGGCGAGCTTGTTGAGAGCTGAAATGGGCACTAGGCCGCAGCGTCTTACCGGTATCTAACTAATCAAATCAAGAGTTATGGAGAATCCTCTGTGTATGGAATAGATCTCTCACGCTTGTATCCAGCTTGTAGAGTTTTGTTTTTGTATTTGTAAGGAATTTTCTCGATATTCCTTAGCGCGCCTTGCAACATTGCGTACAGCAGCAGCCATTGTTCGCCCGTTACTGCTAACGGGGCTTCGCCGACTTCGCGCGCACTGTTTCACCAAACCTCGCACTGCTGGCCTGGCCGTGTCGGCCTACGCTTCGGGACTAGCCCGAGCCTCGCTTCCAGCATAGCACTAGCTAGCTCGCACGCACCGCGTTACCGTTTGCATGTTTCGCGTATAAATGTTCGCTCATGCCTTCGCTCACATTTAGTACTCGTTTGACACCTTAGTGCAATTCTCGCTACTTCTATTCATTGCACCCGTAACACTTGGTATTCAGAGCCTCTTTCCTTTCGGACCGCGCATCTCCGCACCCCAGGAAATCAACTTTTGATTTTTCACTCGAAGGGACTCACGCACCTTAGCACCTATGAGCCACTGTCCTCGCGTTCTCTCGTAAACGTGTGCAGCCATGACTGCGCCTAGACTAAGACGAGCCGACGCCCTTCGGAATGGCAGAGCATATCGATGTCACCAGCCTCACGCAGGACCGCCTGGACGAGCTGCTGCGACAAGTGCACGAAAACTCCGAAGAAATCGCGGCATTAACGGCGGAACGCACCTCCCTGCAAAATGACCTCGCACGAACACAATCCCAAGCACCTGGCACTCCGATACAGCCCGCACCACAGACATCGCAACACGGAAGTGTGGGGCAACCCGCGAGCGCCGCAAGTGATGGCGTCGTCCGCCATGACGGAGACGACGACCACAGCACGACACACCCCGACGCGACGAATGTGGCCAGGAATGAGCCTCGAGTCACTATTTCGGTGCCGGCCAGCGAATCAGCCCTACCGTCGCCGATGCCGCTGAAGCCGCAACGTCCGCCATGCTTTGACCCAAGTCAACGGGGTGGTCCTACCGTTCAGGCGTGGCTCTTCACGTTGAATGTCTTCTTCGAAGCGAACTACGTCTCGGAGGATACGGCGAAGATTCGTTACGCCGTGTCGTTGCTGCGAGGACCCGCCATGGACTGGTGGCGTGTCATCGTCACGAAGCCAGTGGACTACGCGACTCTACCGACACGGGAAGGACAAACCGGACCCTGGGCGCCGTCGTATTTCGTGGAGGTGCCCCAGTATCGCACGTGGGACGCGTGGTGCGCAGGTCTGCGCGCTCGTTTCGAGCCAATTGCGGCTTCGATCGCGGCGCGCCAGAGGCTCCGCACTTGGCACCAACTCGGTTCCGTCCAAGAATACACGAGCGGGTTTCTGGCGCTATGCGAGCAAGTGGGTTATATGCACGAGAGCGAACGCATCGACCGCTACATCGGCGGCCTAAAGCAGGACATCGCTCAGGAAATCCAGCTTCGCGGCGTCACCGATTTTCAGGAGATTCTCGCCATGGCGGAGAAACTCGATTTCTTCCGCCGACCGAGACCGGGGTCCTACGGAAGCAACAATTGGGGACATCGGCCTCGTGGGACGAACGAGGGCGCTACGATACGTGCCGTCGCCGCAAATGCCGCTGCCGCACCGTTCAAAGGGCGCTGTTTTGCGTGCAATCGGCCGGGACACCGTAAGAGCGAATGCCCGGAAAATGCTAAGGGAAAGGGGGAAGCTGAGCAGCAGAAACAGACCAAGCAGCAGGGAAACGCTGGGAGTCAGTAGCAGACGGGCCCTCTACTGACAGGTCACGTCGCTCGCCCGACCCAACCGACCCTCACCGAGTGGTAGTGCCGGTTCACGCAATCGACCACACCCGGCCGAATAAGGAGGGTACTACGGTAGACAGCCCTATACTGCTTAGTGGGAAAATCGGGACGGACTTAGTTCAAATATTCGTAGACGGAGGGGCCAGCCACAGCCTTATCATCACTGCCACAGCACGAAAACTACGACTGCCACTGGACAGATGTTTACCTGAGATCGACGCAAGACTGGTCGACGGCACATCACTGGCGATACGGGAACGTGTGGACCGAGTTCGGATTCGATGCGGGGGTAATTTCACGTTTAGCCAGGAAATGCTCGCTACAACCCTCGACGGAACCGACATTTTACTCGGGCGTGATTGGCTGCGACGACACAATCCGCGAATCGACTGGACGACGGGTGACTGCACTGTGCGAGTGAACGGTAACAACATCGCCTTACCTCGCTGGGGCTCGCCTGAGTCTTCGTCGGTGCGTGTCAACGCGATCACGATGAAACGCGCCGTAGCGGCAGGAGCTGACGTGTACGCGGTTGACATTCGGGAAGCCGAGGCAGCAGACAAAGGAGGGGATTTACAGAAACTGATAGCCGACGTACCGAGTGATCTGGCAGCACTGTTGAAGCAGTACAGTGACATCTTCCCGGACGACCTACCGACAGGACTGCCACCTCAGCGACCGCACGACCACAGGATAGAACTAGAACCGGGGGCACAGCCAACAGTACAGCGACAATTCCGACTGACCCAACCCGAACTGGACGAATTGCGGAAGCAGCTGGATTACCTGCTCGAGAAGGAGTTCATTCGCCCTAGTTCGTCACCCTTCGCAGCACCGATACTGTTCACACCGAAAAAGGACGGGGGTTTTCGCATGTGCATAGATTACAGAGCACTGAACAGGGTTACCATAATATCCCGTTACCCCATCCCGCGAGCTGACGAACAGATCGACCAACTGCGCACAGCCCGGGTTTTCTCGAAAATCGACCTTCGGGGAGGTTACCAACAGATCCGCGTCAACCCACCCGACTGCCCTAAGACAGCCTTCCGAACACGCTACGGATCTTTCGAATACACTATCATGCCCTTCGGACTGACCAACGCCCCCGCCACTTTTCAAATGACCATGAACGAAGCCTTCCGCCCGCTTTTAGATAAGTGCGTCATCGTGTATCTAGACGACATACTGATTTACAGCCCTGACAGAGCACAGCACTTACAGGACATCGAAACAGTTTTTAAAGATACTGAGTGACAACCGCCTACTGACAAAAGCATCTAAGTGTGAGTTTTTACAGGACCGACTGGAGTTTTTGGGACACATTATTTCAGCTGCAGGAGTGGAAATAGACCCGAAAAAAATTGCGACGATTCAAGCATGGCACGCGCCGACCAACTTGACCGAGTTGCAGAGTTTTCTGGGGTTCGTCAACTACGTGCGCCGGTTCGTCCCCGACATGGCGAAGTTGACTGCCCCGTTGACTGACCTGCTGAGGAAGGGGGTTGAGTACACGTGGGGGGAGAAAGAGCAAGCTGCCTTCTCGGCCCTCAAAAATATTTCGTGCTCACCGCCCGTGCTTCACATCGCAGATCCGCACCGTCCGTTCAAACTCGTCACCGACGCTAGCGACATTGCTGTGGGAGCGGTACTGTTGCAGGACTTCAGGAACGGCCTCCAGCCAATCGCGTATGAGTCCTGCAAGCTTCACCCGCCCGAACGCAACTACCCGATACACGACCGCGAGATGTTGGCGATCGTGCACGCGTTCAAAGTGTGGCGATGTTACCTCACGGAAGTAGACGTGACAGTACGGACAGACCTGTCAGACTTATATGATCTAGCCTGTATAGGCTGTAGCGGGTTAGATACTAAGGGGTACACAATTCTAGGGTTTCATATTTGTATCACACTCATTCCTTAGTCGATTCATTCCTTGTAATCTTCACATGGTATCAGAGCAGGTTCCCTAGTGGGAACGTTTCCTAGGGCCCACCACTCAAAATCGGAAAAAAAAAATCCCTGACTGAGCGAAGGGAGTCAGGGAGCCGAGTGACTAGGTAGTAGAGGGTGATGTACATGGGGGGGGGGGTTCTTGGTGCAGAACTCAGCAGGAAGCGCAGCGCGGTAGCGGGCGTCACTAGTGCGAAGGTGCGTAATGAGGTCAGCGACTGTGGGAAAGGCGGCTAGGTCAGGGAACAGGTACGGCAGCATGAGGCGGCTAAGAGCAGCAGTGGCAGGGGAAGAGTAGCGTGCAATGACAGCGTCGTACAAGGTCTTAGCACTCTTGTGCTGACTAAAGTGCGCGCGCTTAGAGGAAGGCAAGTGACTACGCACAGCAAGACGGGCAGCAGCATCGCGTGTGGCCCACTGTGAGCGAACAGTGCTGTCAGCATCAGCAGCAGGGGCAGTAGAGGCGCCAGACGTGAGATCGAACAGTGAGAGACCGTCTTTCCTATCGCACTGTAGGAAAAGCTGCAGATCATCGACCCAGACCTCAAAGTCAACAGCCCGACCCTCAGCATCAAAGACGAGAACGCTAGGGGTAGCCATGACAGCAGTAGCAGCAGGCTAGGGGCAGCAGCAGCAGTGGCAGCAGTAGGGGCGTAGTTCGGCGACGCTCTTACCAGGGCAGAGGGTCGCAAGTGGTGGGGCAGGGCCGAGGCGCACCGGCAGGGACGGGCCGAGGCGCGCCGGCAGGGCCGAGGCGCGCCGGCAGGGTCGGGCCGAGGCGCGTCGGCAGGGACGGGCCGAGGCGCGCCGGCAGGGCCGAGGCGCACCGGCGGCTGCAGTCAGCGGCACCGGCGGCTGCAGCCTCGGTTGTGGTGGCGGCGGCTGCTGCTGGTGGCGGCCGCGGCGGCTGCGGCCCCGGGAGCGACGGCGGCGGCCGCTGCTGGCGGCGGCACCGGTGGCGGCGGCTCCCGCTGCAGGGGCGGCGACGGCTGCTGCTGCTGCTGTTGACCCTGGGGTCGGCGCTGGAGCCACTGGTGCTGGAGGTGCTCGTACTTGCGGTACTGGAGCTGCTGGGACTGGGGGTGCTGCTGAGGATGCTGGAGTTGGTCCTGCTGGAGGTGCTGCTGGTGCTGCTGGAGGTACTGGAGCTGCTGGTGCTGCTGAGGGTACTGGAGCTACTAGGGGTGCTGGTGCTGGAGGTACTGCTGGCGCTGGGGCTTCTGAGGGTGCTGGAGTTGGCG